TGTCCCTCCACCGCTTGTCCCAAGTCCCTCTCCAGCTCTCCTGGAGCCCCTTCAGGCACAAGGATGCTTCTCACCTCCAACACTTCCCAGACAACTCAGGCCCCCCCACACTGGTTCTACCCTGAGCTGCCCAGCCCTCAACCAGGATGGAAACTCCTGAGCAATCTCTTTGGGAAAACCCAAAGGAATTATTCACATGCCTCCAAACCCATTTAAGATCCCAACTTTCGTGGCTACACTGGAAATACCAACGATTGCCCTCAGTGGAGGAGCAAAACCAAGCCCAGTCCCCTTGCAGGTGTGTGTGGGAAAGGGGATCTCTTTACCAGTAGTCGTAGCTCTCGTCCCAGTTATCGAAGTGGATCAGCAGCCTGTTGTCCACCACGTCTGTGATGGTGGCCACGCAGATCAGGGAGGGATTCTTCTTGTCCACTGCCTCCAGTTTCATCCCCAGACGAAACCCAGAGGGTGTGACAGGCTGAGGAACAGGACAACAGGGAAGGGAAAATCAGCCACGCTGTTGGCCAAGCCTAATTCTCCTTACAAACTCATTTGTAACCCCAAAACCCACAGGCCAAAACACACTGCAGTTACCAGCAAGAGGTCTGCAGGCAGGATTTCCCTGAGTTCTGGCAATGACTGTTTCTGTTGCCAAAAAAGAGCTGATGTGGCTCGAGAAACAGCATTTCCAGGTAAACCCAGCACCACAGACTCCCAGGCTGAGACAGAAATGCCTTTGCAGTGATGGGTGTGGCAGGTCCTGTCTCACTGGGGGAAAAGTTCAGGGAGTCCTCAAGGAGAAGAAGAGACTCAGTGGGAAGCAGAGCAGAGCTGGGCCCTGATCCCACTGGAGTCAGTGCCTGTCCATCTGCAGTGTCCAATCCATCAGCCTTTGTGTCACTGGAGTGACACAGATGGCAGGGAGGGTGAGGCAGGGACTGAGGGTAACAACCACAAAGAAAGCACCAGGGGGTGAAGGATGAAAAATGCTCCAGATCCACAGCCCCATAATGAATCCCATGGCACACATGAGCATGCTGCTGGAAACCAGAAATTATTTTGGAAATGATTAAATTAGGGGAAAGGGACACAAATATCCCGACTGCAGGGACACAGCAAAACAGACGGCTGTAATATATTTAATAAATGGTCCAGTAAATCTTTTCCTCCAGCATTAAGGAGGAAGGGAAATACAAATTCTTTCTCTGGGAAGTCAGTGACTAGGGGAAGGAAGAAAAATTGTACTAGTTTTCCATCTTAAAAATAAATCACAGCAGGAAGCAGTTTGCATCTGATTGTACCACAGTTGTACCTCTGACATGAGCATATTAAAACCATGTAAATAATCTGGTCAAAATTCACTTAGCACCAGACCTATTGAAACACCTTCTATTCCACATCACCACTTACAGTGCTGAGGGTCTTAAAAAGGCTTTTTGGAGCTGCTTGAGCTTTGCAATTCTTCAGATAGGAAGTCCAATTAAATTCTCCCTCCTTGAAACCTGGGAAGAGAGATAAAAAAATTGTTCTACCTGGCCCCGGAACATTCCGACAGGCTTTTCAGAAATGGAAATTACCTGGGAAGAATATGAACTTTGCATGATAACTGCCCTGCTAAAATCTTCAGGGGATGTGCATTCCAGCTAAAGCATCTCTCTCTTTTTCACTCTAATGGCCAATCATTAATCTCAACCTTCAGATGTTTCTGGGAAATCGAATGCAGGGAAGAAGCAAGTCCTGAACCCCAAGGAGACATCCAATACAGAGTTTCTAATTTGACTAACAACGTCACTCTCTGGGAACATCAAAAAGAAACTGTTTTGTTCTTCTGTGAGTCACTGTGTTAGTTACACCTCTTCCCTTTAGCCCCTCAGATCGAGTTCCATGCTGAAATCACACTAAAAATGAAACACGCAGAGCCAGGACAGCCAGTTCTTAGGAGAATTTATGGTTTCTTGTACACCACTCTATTTTTTTTTTCCATACCTTTAGGAGGGAGCAGCTTATGGCTTGTTTTTTCACACCAGCCCACAGGATGGATGTCTGAGGAATCAGCATTAGCCCAGAAGTCATAACACTCTGGATACCCATCAAAGTGCAGTCGCATCCTGTAGCCTTGGATCTGCAATGAGAGGAGCTCTGATTGCCAGAAAGGGTCATAAAGAACTTAAAGAAAATCACTAATCAACTGCATTGTTCTTTCCCATATTTATTCATTACAGGCCATTAAAAGGTTTGCTATTCTGAGCTACGATTGCAAAAATCTGACAGGAAGGATTTCAGGCAGAGACCCTCAACCACATCACAGCATTCCTTCACTGTCACCTGGAACTCCTAACCATTAATTAATTCATGTACTATTATTTTTATGTTTCTACTTTTTACTGGAAAAAAAAAATCCTCAATGTACATGGGACTTTTGGAACCAAAGACAGGAAAAGCAACTACCTCAGCCACTGTGAGAACACAGAATCGAGAGGGGTGTTCAGGATCCAGCCCTTCCAATTTCATTCCAACTTTAAATCCATTCCGGCCTTGTGGGAATGATTGATACTGTGAGGGGGGAAGAAACACTTGCTTTCAATTCCTAGAGACAAAAATCTATTGCAGAGCAGTCATTAGATGTACTCAAAGCTTCAAATGTTCAACTCAGAGAAGAAAATTCTAGCCCCAAGTGATTGCTGCTCGAAGAGACAGGTGCAGGTTCAGGGATCAATAATGGCATGATCACAGGATTTCAGATTTGTTATTCTAATGAATCTCTCAAAAACACTGAACCACGAGCCTGTTGCAATTAGCTGTGAACAAATCTTTGAGCAGATGCAGAAATGAGCTCTTCTCAAACACAAAAGAATCCCTTTCCCAGCCCGAAGCAGAAACAGAGGTGGGAAAGCTCAAATTACTTTGTCTGTCAGTCCAGACTCTCCCCAGAGGTAACCTGGCATCTTCAAATGCTGAAAGGGACAAGGCAGGTTTGATCTGGAGCCCAGTTACTCCAGAAAACATTTGTGTTTTTCAATACAAACGAAACAAGTGAAGTGTAGTAAAGGTTTAAAATAAACCTGACCTGGGATTGTAAATGGCTTTTTGACTCTCTGCAGGACCTGACCTTCCTGCTCAGCTCACTCTGGAAGGACCAACAGCCCTGGGCTTTGAGGAGCTCACAGGGAGCTGAATGTTTAATGTGCAGGAGCAGCTTCCCCAGGGCTGCACTCCCCTCTGCCACCTTCACTGAAGGGACACAGCTCCCTCCCTCCCTCCTGCCAGACACTCACTGAGTGAATCCACAACATTCCCAGAGCTGACTGACTCCAGTTTCCCACAGGGAAGGCTGGAAGGGCTGTTGTACAGCCACAGGTATGTGACAGACATTAAGCTGTCCCCCTCCAGCAGCCCTTGGATGTTGCCTACCAGCCCATTTATCCAGAGCAAAGCTGATCCAAAGAGCTGCTGTTTATTTGGGAGTGAGATCCAACCAGCATTTCTAATACCCTGGTTTGGGATGAGACTCCCAGGGCAGATGCCTCATTGCACAGGAACGTGTGAGGGTTTCTCTGCCTGTTTGCACCAGAACAACTCAGAAATGTTACTGCTGGCTTGAGGGTGGTCTCCAACCCCACTCCACCGAGCCAGAAATCCTGCAATGCCGCCTGAGAAAAACAGAGCAAGGGAGTGGAAAAAGCTGCCAACCTCTCTGAACAGTTTGAGGGGAGCAGCTGGCATCTGTTCCTCTTCCAAGTAGGAAACCCAGTTCCATACCTTCTTCTTTCCAGGAAGCACTAATTAATCAAAAACAAAGAGGAAAAATCAATGTTTCTCTCCGATGCTTCCCGCTTTTCTCCTCCTCTCTTCTCCTTCTCCTCCCACGTACACTCCAGCTGGTTTGCTGTGGCACCCCAAAGGAGGCAGTGTTACCCAACTTTTGAGGAAAAGGAGGAATTCCAGCAGCAGGAAAACCGTGCTCATTCCTCACTGAATGAAAATTTGTCACAGGTCAAATGGATTGTGGCACCCGTATTCCCTGGCAAGATGCCCATGGAAAGGTGCCAGTGGAAAGCCTGGACAAGGCAGAATAACTTAAAAATGTGGAAATTAATTCCTTCTCCTGGTATTTCACAGAGGAATAAAGGGTTAAATATAAGCTAACAGACAGCACAGAGAGGCATATAACTGCAGCTGCAATAAACCTAAAATACAATAGATGAAAAACCAAGTGAATTTTCATTCAGTTCACAAGATTTTATAAATATATATATATACACACACACATGTATTTATAGCCTTCTAATAACACAATGCATCTATTAGAGAGGCAGCTCCCAGCTAATGAAAATAACTTGGATTCATTCTAGAACCACAGTCATACACACAGAAAATTACGTTTTAAATGTACATTAAACATCTCCCCCCAGTAACACACTAACTCATTTAAGGTATGTAACACATTTCAGTCACAGTCTAGAATCAATCTCATTGTTTACAACTTATTTTCTCTTTAGCATTATAGGTTCTGGCTCTGAAGCTCTCCAAAGTCAATGGAAAGAAGATTCTTATTGTCTTCAGTGAGCTTTGGATCAGGCTGGCTCCTTCCAGATCCTCACACTGTGCCCATCATGCAGGGAAATCCAGGATATTCCCCCTAATACATCCCAGAAGCTGCCTGTGGTAAGAGGGTTATGTACCTAATAAGCTACTCTGAATGTGAAATGAGCTCTACTGTCCTTTCCTCTTCTGTTGTTTATTATTATTATTATTATTATTCACTTTATAATAGCTACTAAAAAAAAAAATCTATAAACATTAAAGAAAAGAGACTCTGAGCTTAGCTCACCTTGTTTTATTGGTTTAGTGTTTCTGCGGCTTTTCATATTATTTGATTTATTCTTCTCCTAGACACAGATATGTTAAAAAGAAGTTTAGCAAGGTTGGTTTTCCCTCCCTCTGATCATCTCACAATGCAGGTACAATAAGGATGGAACAGGTAACTACTAACAGGACTATTAGCCAGTATTATGTCTCTTGAATAACCCTGCAAGAACAGCAGTAGGGAATGCTACACAGATAACTTTGATCCTGCAGTATCCCAAAGTGCTTTACAAGTTATTTAATACATGCTCCTGGAGTTCATTTAAATGTGGCTGCAGAAGAGCAGCACAGGCCCAAAATCTCCATTACAATACAGAGGATTTGCTTTCTGCAGTGCAGGATTTGCTCCTCAAGTCAGCAGCATTACTGTAACTCCATTCTCCTTTCCCTTTCTCGTGTCCTTCCATGCCAGGGAATGGATAGAAGGGGAAAAAAAGTCATTGCTGAAGGCCTGAAGGAAG